GTGCTCTGTGGATGTGCAGACTTCCTGAAACAGTGGGAGACTGGGGCTGTACAATTCACCCAACAAAACCAGATGGTRATAAGTATTGGAGTGGTTATGCCGCCATGGGAACAACAGATGTTCTTAAACATACACGTCACAATAACCACCCCGGTCACAGTTGTTCGTGATTTCATTTCTCTGTTGCAACAGTATGCAGTTTCTCTCGCATAAACCTGACCAACTATTCATTGTTACTTCTAACGTTTCATATTAAAAATAGGATAAGGATAGATTAACATAACACAAAAATAAGAAAAAAAAGGACAAGAGATGTCTTGAAAGCCATGAGTTCAGGCTGACTCAAGGTATTTTACAATTCTTCGTTTTCAGATTACGTCACTGCGGCCATTTTGGAGGAACTTCAACAAAGGGTTTCTCATTATTAGTGTCTATAGATCATTCCTCCAAAATTGCCGCCGGTCTTTTAATTTGAATCTCATGGGAATGAGTGAAAACGATCAATTGAATATTTTGACAACGGTAAATTCTTGTCCATAGTCAGGACAGATAGCAAATATATATCTGGCATTTGTGGATTTACATGGAAAATATACTGTCAAAATGAGGCTTTAGTATATAGAATATCGTGGATTACATATATCTGTAAAACTAAGCTACACTGTTTTTGTTATCGTGATTATTAAAATTCTTTATGTTTACAAACAAAAGGAATTGACACCACTTTTACTCTAATAGCACCTCCGATAGTGTCCAAAATTTTAATCGGCCACCATCTGGATCTCCCCTACATCACCCTTTGTGATGTTACTTGCGCATTAAGATTAAAATAAAACGCCCAAGCCTAACAGTATCAAATGGAAACATTAATATGTGTTCAATAATTCCCTCTAATACCCCGGAGGCATTTCAGGGCATGAGTTTACGCTAGTTAAAACGTCAAAACGAAAGACAGGCGTTCGCTACGCTCACTCGTGAGAGATCTTTTCAACAYTCGAAGATAAAATCCGTATAGATCTCCGCGCGCCCATGTAATATCCTCTATATTATAAATTTTCATTATTTTCATATCTTTTCTATAAAAAAGGGATACATTTCCTGACATTTCGAAGTAAATTCTTCTTCCTGTGCAATATCCTTGAAATCGAAGTCATAAACATTAGATCCCCATTARGCTTATCGAACTCACGATCTTTAGCCGATTTATAAACTTTAACTTTAATAGTCTACTAAATAAATGTTGAAAGTACTCCCCTATTCAAGACAACCGAAGGTCAATTGTATAGGTCCTATTTCAAGACGCGAAGGCCAAAAACCATATGCTATATTTGGCGGAACGTAAAGGGAATACTCGGTCCTCTTTTCAGATAATATTTTTGTCCTCATGCAAACTACAAAAAATTAATAGGAAGATATGGATTAAAGATTCGCAGCTTTTAATCCTCATCCTTAAAACAAATTAGAACATGAGAGCTTGAGCCAAATACCAAAGTCATTAACTTTGGACTATCTATAGAACTGTGGACATATTGATGGCATATTGATAAATGTATGGTATGTTTTTTTTTTCCAACCAATTACATGTATCTATTATTCCAAAAACATATGTATCAATAAAAAACGTTAATATACACATACACCTACTTGCGAAAACGTTGTCATAAAAAAATAGGACACTTGTATTTTAGTAAAAAGGAATAAATTAAAAAGACAAAAGAAGATCACTGAGGCTGAACGCTCTCTATTGTCTTGTTTTAATTTATTCCTTTTTACTAAATTCGAATGTTCTATTTTCTATGACAACGTTTCTGCAAGTAGGTGTATGTCAATTTTGCAAAAACAATTCTCAAAATCTACGTGTTGCACTGATTCTCTGATTGGAGTTACTGCATACTCTGAATCGCCCCATGATATGGAATCTGGAGCGTTGTGGATTCGTGATTACAAGCTCCGGGATTCCATATTCCATAAAAAAAAATCCGTAAGGTCAGTTTACACTAGTTGCAGTTTACATGCGACAAAATAGTCTCCTCGCAGCCGTTCTTAGTGGCGGGCTCCCTGTTCCCCAGGGAGACAGGGCAGGGACAGGGAGCCCGGCACTAAGAGCGGCTGAGAGGAGACTACTACAGTAGTAGTCTGAAGTCAATACATGCCGGGGCGCGATTCTATTGATATTTAGAGCAATTACTGTGTTTTCATATGAACTTTACTCCCTAGCTGATTCCAGCAGACCGAAAGATACAATTACGTCATTAACTCACTAACATCTTTCTGGGAAAAACAAAAATAGCAGTCTTTTTCTAGGAAAAACCAAAATGAAAGCCTCAACGACAGTCATGTGATTCCACTCATTTTTTTCCACTTCATTAATCACATTTGGCAGCTCATTTCCTCGTGGTTCCCTAAATATACATGCTAATAGTTCCTGTAAACACCTGGTAAAATTCACGTGTACTTCAGACTTACTTACAAAGTCTACAAACATCATATCATACGTAACATCACGTTACAATTCAGTGTGGTAGCGTTGACGTTTGTTCACTGAAGATAACATGGCAGCAGCTTGGAAGCTATACATCGCTTGCTGGTTTCTCGGTGCAGCTGTTCAAAGTGTTGTATTTTTTAGCTACAACGCTGTTGATTACTTCAACTACTTTTTCCCTGATGATTACAAGCCAGAGGTTTATATAGGAGTAACTGCTAGTGTAGGGTCAGCTCTTGGAGCAGTATTAACCGTTTGTTCTCCTCCTAAACAGCGATGTCTGACAGTCTTAATGGCTGCACTTATCGTGTCCGGCATAATTCTAATGGTCGAAGTACTTATAACRCCCTTACAAGAAGACACAATCACAAACGAAGCGCGCTTCGGTGTTCTTCTAGGACTGGTCTTCCTGGCAACGGTAATTCAAAACGTTGGCGGTGGAGCTCTATACTACTTTGTTGGTAAACACATTCCCCAATTTGGTGTTCTTGCAGCACAGTCCGGCGGTGTTTGCGCATTCGCGGCAACGTTTGTCGTTCGCTGCATCTCTAAAGGATCTTTTCAACACGAGAAGGACGTGCGACGTGGTTTCAGATTAAGTGGTTATATGTATGTAGCTCTAGTTGACTTGATTATCCTTTTAGCTACGTTTCTCATCGCTATTTTAAAACCGATTCAATCAAATTGGAGAAGAGAAGTGAACGACGGGGAAATTCAATCCCTCTTGACAAGCAGAGTCAAACAAGGGATTTCCTATAGTGTAATTATCAGGAAAAACTGGTGCGCTTTGGCCACAATATGCCTCACCCTAGTAAYTTGCGATGCTGTTTTCCCAGGTGTGACTTCTCAGTTCCATGGAAATTACAACTGTAGTACTACGTCAGTTAATTCCACGTCACCGATGATGACATCATCACCGTCCACTAGTGACAAAACGGGCTGGTTTGTTGTGATTTTATTCGGCTGTTTTTCTGTATCTGACACTATTGGTAAAAATATACCTATCCTAGGCATCMTATACAGCAAGAAAACTATTCTAGTTAACCTCGTAGTACAGCTAGTGATTGCAGTTCCAGCCCTACTCGTCTACTTTGAACCCTGTGTCACACAACTTCAAAGCGATTGGGTTGCTTATGTCACGGTTGGTCTTCTAGGTCTTGTGACTGGGTACGGTATTTGCACAGCCATGGTGMTTCTTGCTCCGGGCGAATGTGACAAGAGACACGAGGAAGGAATAGCTACAAGTATTGGATTCATGTTTTTACAAGTCGGGATTTTATGCGGAATGGGAAYCTCGTTGTTTCTGGTGGAGTACTTATTTAAACACATGAAATACAGGATGTACATTTAAATGCATGACGACCGTGTAAAGACACCTGCTACCAGTGTCGTAGTTTACTTTTTTGTTAGGTGGGGTGGAGTGGAGGGATTAAAGCTTTCCTCCTTTTTAGGAAGCTCCTAAATTAATTAGATATTGACAGAGAAAGAAGTCCACCCCCCCCCCCCCCCCCAAATACCACTTCCAATATTTCTCGATTCGGCCATAAGAACCTGATTGGCTCGCTTACGTAAATACCGTTCCCTCTCATGATTACGAGTCTAGASCGTAAAGTCGGGCTAGCTAGTTTTGGGTGCCGCACACGGTGTATAGGCAAACGCGATGATGATGTAATATTCTGACTATCATATAATTATATATGAAAGTAAACTATGACGTAGAATACCTTTTCACTAGTTTTTTTTATTAATAATTAATGTGCAGCTCAATTCTTATTGCATATTCACGCACCACGATATTCTATTCTGGCGGCTTGGCCAGGAGTGATATCCTGTCTTTAATTCTCAGTTTTCCAAAATAGCAAAATAGCCGACGACCACGCTCTAAGGACCCTTAAATAGATTTGACCTAAAAGTTCATATAAACAACAGAAACAATTTCTAATGCAAATTAAAGAAAAGATCACTACTTATCGTATACTTATCGACGTTTTTTGTTCATGGACCAACTAACAAGTCAGGGGGAGCCTCTGGAAGGATTGTCTTTTATTCCTTCATGTTGTCGGCCGGGGTTGTCGGGCAGCGTTAATCGGTTTGTTTTTACGCCAAGCCTTRCSTCGACAACAYAGTGAGCAAAGGAATAAACGACAATTCTCTGGGACAAATTGCCCGGATGTGAAATCGTAGAAAGTCCACTCCTACGTTCACAAGCGMCACAAGTGCCACTAGGAAGAAAACTATCACGTGGCTGYCAAAAGGTTTGCTCACACAGGCAGCCCAACCTAACTGGACGTTAGCAGTGCGAAAATATGGCGGCGGCTGAAAGGAAGAGGGTCGCCATTATTGGCTCGGGAAATTGGTACGTTATGCTGTGATACAACTATAGAATTCCTATTTCCACAACCTATTGAGCTTTGTGGATAATGTCTTGTATCTTYGCATTCAAGGGGTTCTGTGATTGCTAAAATCGTTGGAGCAAACACAAAAGATCACAACGACATTTTTCACGAAGAAGTGAAAATGTATGTTTATGAAGAGGAAATCGACGGCAAAAAGCTTACTGAAATCATCAACACACAACATGAGAACGTAAAGTACTTGCCAGGATACAAATTACCCGAAAATGTGGTAGGTTTGCAGTGTCAAATGGAAATCGTTGCTAAAAATTCTTATGTTTTGTTTACATGCATTGATTAACTTTATAATACCGGGATTAACATTACAATATAATAATTGATAAGAATTTGCAGTCTGTTTTTTATCTACAACAGTAAGATGTTTTCTGTCTTGTACTTTATTCCGTTTTTACTAAAAGTGATTACGTAAATTAAGCTTAGTCTTTTAAAAGCTCATCCTCTTGCAAGTTTCAAAGTTAAGCTTACTTATTTCAAGCTACAAGTTTTGCTATTTAAACTTAATTAATTAATTTTGTTGTTGGAAGCAATTATATAACAATGGGTGTACAGTTGTGTACAGGGGGCCCAATCAAGCTGTCRCAATTGTTCCATTATATCCATATGATTGCAGGTTGCGGTACCAGATGTCGTAGACTGTACCAAAGACGTTGATGTCCTTGTATTTGTAGTTCCACATCAGGTACAATGTACATGCATCCTAGCTCTGTCTTATAACGTTTTTAATTGCTTTTAAAACAATTGAAATTGGACATTGAATTTCCCTAGTTCATAATGACGTCACATCAAAACATTCTATTGTTTTAACGCTAAGGATTATGGACTGCATTTCAAATAAAATGTACATTCATGAGCAATCACTTATACATGATATATATCAAAACACGATTCACTGAAGTTCTACTTTAGTCGACAATATAAATGGGTCAAAATTTCCGCTGTTTTTGACCATCGTTTTCCRATGTAMATATACTGTGACGTCATAATGAAATAGGGCAATTAAGATATTTCCCCCTTTGCAGTTTATCAAGAAAACTTGTGAAATGATGAAGGGACATGTTAAAAAGAATGTTATAGCTATCTCTCTTATCAAGGTAAAAATACATAAAATTATAACACTAAACTTAAAGAATAACAATGTACAGCAATTTGTACTTTAGACATGTGGTGACTTTTGCAATCCATTTCCATCCATCAGTTTTTAAGAAGTTCTGACTTTGTTATTTATCCATTTCATATTTCCCTTAACAGTTTGGCATTCCCTGTTTGTATATGAAATTAGAAGCTACTCATGCTCAGATCACGACATGGAGRCAACACAGATCAGACAGTATCACAAGAACAAACATCTTGAAAAGACAAAGAAGCATTAGGGCGAGTAGTAGATATTGAACGATAGCCTCTATCCTAAATTAGATCCATTCATAGATTATATCACTATCTTTGATATTTCCCAAAAAATGTTGGTGATCTGAGTATGTGGTAAAACATTATATATAGTACATAAGATAAGATTTTGAAATAGGTTAGCTTGGAAAAATGTTCATTTAATGGTCATTTATTAAATTTTAGTTAGTCATTTTATGAACGTGTTATATTCCATTGTATACTGCAATGTTCTAAAATAATGTGCTGATATATATTAGCTTATACAGTATTGTTTGACTAAACTTTATAACAATCATYATTTAAGGGCTTAGATCATACCAAGACTGGACTTAATCTGGTGTCTAATGTTATCCGTGATGCCCTTGGTCTCTCTGAGGTCAGTGTCCTAATGGGGGCTAACCTAGCAGGGGAAGTAGCAAGGGAACTGTTTGGTGAAGCTACTATTGGTGAGTGAATTCACTGTGGACAAGATTATCATTAATGATTTTGAGCAATTAGGAAAACTGAATTGAATGGTAAAATATTGGCGAGGTACAAAGTCAGCAATCTTAGGACTTCTTAGGACTTCTTCACATTTTTATTWACATGTATATATCCACAGCACGTGTTTGTAGGTATAATAAGTATTGCTAGGCTGATTTCATAAGTCGATCCCAGTTCCAATTTTTTAACAGGCAAACCAATAAACAAAGAGTGTAAATACTGCTTATGGAATCAGTGTAAAATATTGCATATCACCCTTAAATGTTTCTGTCTTATATTAGGTTGCCGTAATCAGGAGCATGGACAAGTCCTGTTAGACCTTTTCCATACTAGATACTTTAAGGTGAAAGTCGTTGAAGATGCAGACACAGTAGAACTGTGTGGTGCTCTAAAGGTACTAACAATATAGTTGTTGGATGTCAATGATGCAAAATTTGGCTAGTTGAGATGCATGCTTCTTAATTATACATTATCCTATAAATATAGAATGCAGTAGCTATTGGTGCTGGAATGGTAGATGCTTTAGGGTAAGCAAGAAGAATATAGTGTATTTTGCACATTTGTAATTTGTATATTGTACATAGTTTTTGAACAATATATTACAATGTGACTGCTCATGTGGCTGATGTTTTAAGAGTTTAGAGACAACCATTTTATATTATAATATCAATCAACCATAATTTCATGATTATAAACTTATAGGAAAACAATAGACAAAGTGCTTATAATTGTGTTTTAGGTATGGTGATAACACAAAAGCAGCTATCATTAGGATTGGTCTCAAGGAAATGATTGACTTTGCGAACCGTTTTTATGATGGAGTCAAAGTGGAAACTTTCTATGAGTCTTGTGGTGTTGCAGACCTGATTACTACTTGCTATGCTGGCAGGAATCGTAGAGCAGGAGARGAGTTTGTCAGATCCAAAAAGGTGCAAAAATCAATTAAGCACATTTAATGCTTGTTTCCTTTTGTTGAGCTTGAGTGTCCCTTTTGTCCCCAGTTAGAACTAAATTTTGTGAGGCCAGATGTCAAGTCTTAATGTTGAGGGTTAAAGACTGTTTTGCTGGCATATACTGTATTTCAAAACATCGTATCCTCCCTTAGGAACACTTGATATCTACACTCATATAGCCTTAGCAACACTCAGTTTAAACTGAAACAAAATAATATAAATGTTTGCATTTGCACATCATTCTTTTTTTTTTGTAAAATGGTATGTTGTTATAGTACACAACTGTGACTTTTGAATCTATTACCATTAATGTTTTATCATTTTTTTATTTTCAGACCTTTGATCAGGTGGAGCAGGAAGTTCTTGGAGGTCAGAAACTCCAAGGTCCACATACAGCATATGAGGTTTACCAAGTATTGAAAGAAAACAACCTCACCGATGAGTAAGTGTCAGGTTTTGAGTGTAGTGCATTCATATCTGTTTCCAAACTCATTCTGTCAGCTGATCATTCCATAAAAAAAACCATTTCATTAAAAGTCATTGGAGTCGAGTGATTTTCTGTTAAACAATACAAGCTGCAGAGTAGAGGGAGGCTGTATTAGGAAAAATATAGGAAAAGGAAAAAAGGAAAACAAAATAAAATGGAAAGTGGGAAATCTTCAGTCACTACAGTCGCTGCAGTGCTGTCAATAGAGAAAAATGTTTTTGGAGTCTTGTACTGAGGTAAAATCACTCATCAAAAAAACAAAAAACAAATAGAAAATACCCCAAATTTAATATATATTATTATTTACAACTGTGTGTTGTTGTTTCTTTTAGTTATCCTCTGTTTACTGCTATCTATAATGTTTGTTTTGAAAACCACACTCCAACAGAGATGATGGAAATGCTGATGAAGCACTTTTGAGTCAATTATGTCCTTGAAGAACCCATTGACAGTCTCTTGCTGTGTGCAAAAATAAATGCTCGAGATGTCCCTGCAATCCTACATAGGCTGTTACTACCCTGACATACATAT